TTACAAAATATTAATATTTGTAATTTGTTTTTATATAAATAATAATATTATTTATTGAAAGTTAGGGTTAGTTAGGAAAGTTAGGCTCTTTTTCGATTTAAGTTCAGATACAAGGGGACAATAACTTTTATCGATAGAATCGTTATTCCCTACGTTGAAATCTGATTAATCTACACCTTATCTTGTTATCTACTTCTTTCAGTGACAAGATGAATTATTTGCGTGTGTTTACATGCTGTATTTCACTCATCACGTTAATCTATTGCGTGCAGAGTAATTACAATATGAAAAGATTCGAGGGATTAGTTAAGGATCGCTGTTTCTTCAGAGAGGAATCGTTTTAGAGATATAACTTGTACATCTTCGTCGTTGTACTTAAGTTGCTCGTAAAAATAAATATTTCAATTAAATGTTTCTTGTGTCCTGAATAAACATTGATAATTTCATTTCCTCTGATTATATTCTGACACTCGATTTAGTACACTCTTACATTCTTGGCAAAGTTAACCGAACTCGGTTCAATATATTCAAGGCAACGCGGAACAAGTATACGCCACTGTGATACACACATCCAATCAGCTGTTTCTGTTTCGTTTCTCCTATTTATCGCATCCGTCAGACCGTCGTTAAATTTGTGCCCACTCTGAACCTCACTCGAGAATTAACATTAGCGTGATACTCTGTCATAACAACGATTCTCAAACGATATATACAACAACGGTGCTAGAACGTGGCTATTAAATAGTTTCATCGAGGTGATCGCCGCGATGAATACCTAACCTCACTTTCTCAGCCGCGAGGCCCCTCGAGCAACCATGTAATCTGAATCATTGAAAGCGTTCCGATGTATCATCGAAATCGAGCGCGGAGAGTGCGTCTTTTCTGCGAAATATCGAAACGCCTTGGACTCTTTCTGTCGTATACTTCTCGATGAAGTATCTCGTGAAATCGAGTTGGTGCAGTACGCTCGGAAGAAGCTCGTAGTACTGGTGCTCGAAATCCATGACCAATGAACAGCCGATATTTTACGATGACCGAAACAAAATCCAGAAAGATAGTGACGAGGTTTCACCCGATCCACGGGCAGAACATTATGCTACACGAGGACAACACTGTGGCATATCGTACTGCCAGCTTTGCCAGTTCTCTGGCCTTCAGTGAGAAACCATTGCAACCGGGTGAGATATTTCTGGTGGAGATCGAAAAGAATGAAAGAGGATGGAGTGGACACATGAGGCTAGGGCTCACGCTTATAGATCCAGCCTCTATGAGACATGATCTGCCACAGTTTGCTATGCCTACTCTTGTTAGGCTAGGGAATACATGGATATTTGCCATTACCAAGAGTCACAGTATATGGGATAGCTTCGAAGGCTATGGTGAGAATCTACAACCCTATTTTAATAGTGTTTGTTTTCATTCAAAGCTTTCTTTACTGACTTTTCCATTTCTATGTACTTTAAGCTGAAGGAATACCATCTGTGCAGAAAAAGTTGATCACAGATGGAGTAAACGTGGAAACATCTCGTGGAATTATTCCATACAATGCTCTCAGACCAAACACAATTGATTCTTCACAGTATATTCTACCCACGGATGCTGGTAGTCGTATTGGAATTATGTACGTGCCACAAGCTGGTTCCGACATGGCAGAGATGCACTTTATAATCAATGGAGAAGACCAGGGTGTATGTGGAAAAGACATACCCTACAAGGCAGGGCCTTTACGCGTCGTAGTTGATGTATATGGTACCACAAAACAAGTCAGAATAGTTCAACTTTATGGTGGTATGTTTCTTTCATATCTTAAGTATTATGTCTGTGTGAAAATTCGGTTCTTAATGAATACATGTTTCAGCAGCATACAGCCTAAAAAGTGCCTGTCGTGATGCTATACTACAATACACTAAACGAAATGCAGTTGACTCGCTTCCACTTCCAAGGGTTTTGAAGGATTACTTACTGTATCAGTCACACTGAAATTCGCGCCATTCCATCTCGTCTTCTTTGCATAAAGATTTCAATGCTAGCATAATTCATTTGACTTTTTCTACGACTTGCAACGCATTTATTCGTGTCAACTGTGCTTTCATTTACTGATTATTCTATCGTAGGAAAGAGGAACAGATCTATGAGAAGCGCACTCTGGTTATTGCCTTTGTCCTTCCAGTGAATCGTTCCCCTTTTCCTTTGTATAATTTATCGTGTACGTAGTATGTGTAACTCGCGTGAATGCTAAACTTTAATGTGTACATAATGTAAGAAGTTGTTGACAGAGCACCGGATAAGTTCTGATAAGAGCATCATATTCCTTTCATCGCATTCAAGCACTTATTAGCGACTACACTTTCACGATTTTTTCGAATTCTATCATTCGCATAGAATGATAACTTAACCCACGCGTCTCGTTGCCGCAATATATACATAAAATTCTCATTCTATGAATGTGTATCATTCTCTCTTCATTGTTACGATTCATTGTATGTAACGAGGACATTGTAGGATGAAATTGGTCGCACTGTTAACACACGCAAAAAAATAGATCCGGTTGACGTAATCAATTCTGTCCGAAATGTTTTTCAGAATAAATATATGTATAAAAAAGAAAAAAGACAAATCTTCGCAATTTATATATCCGATAATCATAAAAATAATCATATTATTAATCGAAACACTTGTATTTGTACCAGAGATGCTTTACAATTTTTTCTTATTTTATCTGTAAAAGAATATTATAATTTTCGAACTAAGTTTTCGCCGAGAAAATATTAGCAGATCTATCGGTAGGTAGAACAACGATCAACATAATCACGTAGACGAAGAATACACTGACAAATGCGAGCCATCCGATCAAAACGGACGTATACCTCCAAGTTGTCTCTTGTTTATCAAAGGACACCAGATTCGTGTTGTCGTCCACGTTCATTTCGATTCTGGCCGATGCTTTCGGGTCCAAAATGCTTACTAAAAATACTTGGCCTACTCTGCTTTTCAAAATCGAAACCGTGATCGAGGATATCCACACTGGCGCCTGCGCAGTCAGTTCTTGCATGTGGCGAAGAACGCTGGTTAATATAAGCGTGAATGTGGCTAGGGCGAGTGAATTCTCGTAGAAAAGTACTAAAAATATGAAGTAAGAATGTACATGCTGATTTAGAAAAAATAATCCAATTCTCGAAAAAAATATTAAATCTTTCTCTTAGGAATTTTTTAAACAAATTTTCAAATATGCACAAATCATTTTCTTTCAATTATTTCATTTACTATCTTCAATCAACTTACGTAATGCTGGTGGGCGATTACCAGTGTAAGGAAGCATCCACTGCAGGTCTTGCACAGACCATAAATGGAGCACGAAGTTCAGATTCGCTATAATCATACGTTCCGTGGACCTCGGTTCTAGCCACAGTGTCATCAGTGTCATCGTCATTAGTACTATTATATAAATATAAAATAATTCTCTGATCCATTTGTCTGTAGAATATTTATAATTTAATCTTACGAACCTACGACAATAGTTACGTATATTGCACCATGCATGGACGAATGCCTTTTCAGAAGAATATGATACGACAAGTATTTAGTACTGAAGTATAAACCGAATTTCGAGTTGACCAGACGCTCGCTTTGGGTAAATTCTACCATTTCCCATTGCGTGTTTTTATCCTGTATGTCCACGGTGAGCTGAGAATTATAAAATACGTGAATTAACATATTTTTTTTTTAATGATGAAAATTGAACCTTTTGACATTAAGAAGAGTAATTCTTTGAGCTTATAAAATAATTGAGATGGAAAAATACTTTTCTGTTGCAAGAATAAATGGATTTCTTAAATGTTGTAACTTATAGTATATTTTTTATTAAAAAAAAAGAGAAAAACAAAAACTGAATAGAGCAATGTGCCTTTATTATACAGGGTAGACCACGTAAAACAGACCACTTAATTATCTTCTCTAGCTACGATGGTACTAGAAAATGTTTATACATAATTTAAATGGTTTTAATGCGTGGAAGAAAAATTTTTTTATAAGGACCATTTTTTGTTTTTTAACAAACTCGATTGTTATTGAAGATAGAAAAAAATTGTAGAGGAACAACTGAACAATGTGATGAAAAGTGTAAAAATGTTTAGAATGCAATGGTGGAACATTTGAACATATACTGTAGATGCTGGAAAAAGAGGTAAATATTTCGAAAAGTACATATTCAGTTTTTCACGGTTTTACTCCAATACATTGTTATTCAGAATAGCACAAGGAATCGATTCATGAAAAAAAAAAGTCATGTTATTCAAAAAACGAGTGCAATTGCACCTTGCCACTGCACCGATGCACTTCCGTAAAAAGTTGCAGTACAGGACGATACAGCTTGTTAAACCATGCAAAACTTTTCTCTACAATTTTTTCCTATCTTCAATAACAATCGAGTGATAACTCGACCCAGTTACTAGATACACCCTGTATATATTTTTCTACTGTACGTTGCAACAGATTGATGTGCATTTAAACATGCATAATAATATGGCCTTAAAATGATCTTGGACTCTAAAATTTTAAATCATTAATAATTTAAATTAAAATTTTCAAATTTCTTCCATCTTATTTACCTTTCGAAACCATTTAAATTACGTATAAAAATTTGATAGCTAGAGAAGATAATTAAGGTGGCCTGTTTTACGTGGACCACCCTGTATATAGAATTTCGAGAGAATTACTTAATTGATTTGTAAAATATTGATAAAAATCAATAAATGAATTACGAGGTGTTGAATAATCATTACACCGTGAGATTATACGCACTTGACCTTCCTCATCGAACTTTATGAAACGCAGATCGATCTCGTGTGCATGGTAAGCCCAGGAGCCGATATGTATGGTGCAATTTATCATATCGTAAGGCCACCAGGTAGAATCAGACTCGCACGATGTAGTATATGACATGGCTGGCACACAGAATATGTTGCCTGTATGGTTCAACCAGCATTCTATCGCTGGCACTCCGTCAGCACCCATTGTTGTTCTGAATGTCGAGATCAATTGTTTCATACGAAATATTTCAGAGATACAGTTCACTAATACCCGAGTGATTAATTGAAAAATAGAATTCAAGGTTGCTATTTGTTGAGTCAGTATTTAAAATAAAACATCTTAATCGAAACCTAATAAAAAATTTTATTGACTAAAAAACAAATTAATGCCGACCAAATAAACAAAATAGTACTGATAAAATGCGACATAATCGTGACAATTAATTATTTATATTGACAAAAATATTCAGTTTTACTGACTGTTTATTAGAAAAAATATTTACCATTAATTAAAAAAAATACTGACCAAATAAATAGCAGTGATTGTTTAATACTTTGCACTCGAAGGTTCTTTATACTATAGTGAAGTAGCAAATCGGAGCATGTTTATTTAAAAATTGATGAAATTTTTTAAAACTAACAGAAATAAGAGATACATATGTATATGAACGGACATACTTATTTTATTTCAACATTTAACACGTTAAATGCCACGCTAATTTTACATGACTTCCCCGTCTGGCCAACATGAATTTCTTATTATGCGTTAGATATTATGGTGAAGTATTATTTACAACAGACAAGTTAAAGTGTGTGACGCATTTATCTTACTGCGGGTCACCGGTGACTCTCGCGGCGCTGAAATACATTTCTTTGTTTTCGCAGGATTTTTTAATTTTTTAAAAAAGAATACAGTTCCAAAAAAGTTGTGACATATTGTGGAGACTGTACTGGTTCACCTTTCCTTTGTTTGGAGTGTTTTAATATTTAAGCATACATGTTATACATATGTATACATATACATGTAAACAAAACTATTTCTATATGTTCTATATTGCATTAATTTCTTCACACCATTTTAGTAACGATGATTATATTGAAAAATTGAAAAGCATTGAAATTTACTCGAATTATGTGTTTCATAATTTCACCGGCGCTACGAACAAACTCATTGTCAGTACCGGTCACCGGTGACCCCTATGGCATTCAACGTGTTAATGTATTTTTATATTATACGAGACCTTGTCACAGTTCATTGGAAGTTGATCCTTTCAAATTATTTCATTGCTTAAATCTCGGACGTATGGATAATTGGGAAGGAAACGAGGGGACGGAATGAAAGAGAAAGCGAAAGGAGGAAAGGATGAGCAATACTTTTCCTAATCTGCGACAAAATTTTCAAAGAGTGTACACGATTTATGGAGGCCTATAGATTTGTTGTTCTGAAATATTCAACTAAAACCCTCAATAGTGGTGGATGGTTTATACGGGGTGAATCACCTAACGTGATTACTTTGGATTATTCTGTTGTTAGTGGATCGGAACTATTCTACGGTTAGTGGAACTTTTTCTGTGTCACACAATATGGTTCAAAGAGACATTTAACATGATTATAGTACATTTTTTATCAATCTATTTTTTTTTTTTTTTCGAACTTTCCATAATCACCTTCAATTTTTTATAGATTAACCTACAATTTTTTTACGCCTACCTTGAGACGAGTTCGGCAAGCATCGTAAAATATCTTTTTCTCCATCTGCATTAATGAAACAGTAAAAACAGTATTTTAGTAAAAAAAAATATTATAACAATAAAAAAAGAGCAGAAGTCGTAGAAAGAACTAAGCAGTCATTTATTTGTGGTCTACGTGAGTGTACTGCAGCTGATGGGCGTCCATTTTGAACACACTCTGTGAGTTTGTGTAAGCTTGAAACTTAAAATTAAAGACGTCGTATGTTATCCAGCAACACGAAATCACGTTTTCCTGTACATCTTTCTTCGCCGTTTCAGATAATAAAATTGTTTTTATTACACTCGTTGAATTCGTCTCAATGCTCGCTAACTCAGCCAAAAAAGACTGCACTTCACATAAAAAAAAATAAATAAAAGTGACGATGAAAATTTCGAAAAAAAGGACTAATAAAAAATGTACTATAATTTTCTTAAAGGCTTTTTTCAACCATATTATGCGACACGAAGAAAATTTCAATCTGCTCACCAACAACAGAATAATCGAAGGTGATCACGTTTAGGCGGTTCATCCTGTATACACTATCCATCATATGTGTGAGAATTCTAGGTCTATAGGTACTTGTTTTATTGTTACACATCTGTTAATATCGCTTCTCAGTGGTCATTCAAATTGCTGGATTAAACTGACGAACAAGAATCGCATCTCGAGCGCAAAGGGTTAAAGAATTACATAAAATTTATCTTCTAGCATTTTTTCATCGTCATTTCTGAGATTCTAAATTTTGTTTTTATCGTTTGTTAACTTACGCGCTGTGTATTGTTATATCTGGCATCCAGATCTCGTAGCTCATCACGTGAATGGAATTAACACCATCGTATTCAGACGGCTCCCATGTGAGAAAAGGATCGTTCCAGACCTATCAGGCAATTAAAAACACCACAAACTAGAATCTTCCGTGAATTCATTGGTGTTGATCAAAGATGTATGGTGCAGATAAACCTACTCACCAATCTTACCCAAACGTGGAAGTCAACCACGTTCGTCAAATCATCCTGAAAAATAGAAATTTCCACAGAAAATTGAAGATTTACCCCGACTAAACGTCCATTCAGTATATAACTTTAATGTAATATCTTCGTTTCAATGGTAAAGTTACGAAAATGCAAGAATTACATTTTTCACAAGAGAAGAAAACTACTTTTTCAATTGAGAAAGTAAACTACCCTGAAGCGTTTAAAAATAGGTGAAGAAAAATTCGCAAACTTTGCCTATTACTACGATGATTTTATTGCGATAATTTTATCTACCATAAAATAAATGCAAAGGTGATTTCACATTAATTGATAAAGAGGTTCTCTTATCTCTTGAAAAACTCAGTTTATCTATTTTCTGAACTTTACCATTGGAACTATGATACGTGACCGAAGAAGAAGAAAAAAACAAATTCAAAGAAGCAAACAAGAGAAAGAAGTATTCCTCATTCGTGACTTTCTTTTTGTAAGTGACAAGATTTTACTATTTCAATAAATACAAATTACTCACAACGTCGAACTGGCGCATGTAAAGACCAAAACGAACAACAGTGGCGTTTCTATCCTGGTCCGTAGGCCTGACATCCGTATCGTAACTGCAGAAGAGATGTTCCTTCAGTCTTAGTATTACAGAGTTGTTCACGATATCTTTGCAGTAGCCCTGTACACATAATCCTCCTTGATTCAGCCATAGAATGCTGAATATCACGAAGAAAACATGAAACAAGTTACACATATTCGACACGAGAGAATGAATCCAAACGGCAGATCCGCAGCGACTGTAGATCGATAGATCCAGGAGAATTAGTCGCACGCCCAGTGAAATGTTAAACCAAGGTCGCCGAAAACCGCCCCCTTTTGCTCGTTATCGTTTATGCGATTATCGGTTACAGAATTTTCAATCGTGTGTGTATTGCCACGTGAAATAAAAATAGATCATCTTTCGATGAAACAGTTGCGACAGAGAGATAATTTAGGTTATTCTAGGCTGAATGAATATTGAAACCGCGATACTGGCGAAGATTTATTGGAAGTGAAATTTTTTAGAGTGTTTGGTAATTTTTGAAATTTCGCGAAGTAGATAAAAAAAGAGAGTTCTGTCTTGAATGTTATTGTAATGATTTTCGAAGTCCAAAATGGGACTAGGTTTTTCTTTATAGAATTGATTAAGATAGTTTATACTAAAATAATCATCTACTGGTGTTCATCTACTACAGAACTAAATTGGAACGAATTTATCTTATTGTCAAAGTTACAAGACTCATTTTCAGACGTATATTTATCGATCTTAGATTCAGATTAATCAAGGGTTAATAAAAAATAGAGAAAAGGAGAAACGTCATGTGTAACGAATTAAAAATAGGAATAGAAACGGTATAATTTATTTCACAATTTCATAGACCATCATCAATCATTCTTGTTTAATTTAGCATACGCAAGAAAGGAGTTTCCTAACTTAGCACGTAGTATAAGGAAAAAAAAAGTCTCCATAAATGATCGTTTATTGAAAATGAGAATCTACAGGTTGACTTCTGATGAAAGACAAAAGAAAAGAGAACAATTTTTCAGGGTGGTGGCACGAGAGTGAATAAAATGACGATGTAGGTAAACACCACGGCGAAGAACGATAGCCATTCGATAATGGCGGCGAAATGTCTCCACGAAGATTCCTTAGATTTGTTGCCGGTCTTAGGTATGTCTGAATTGTCCTCATTTTCTTCACTTAATATCCCATCGGTGGATATTTTGGATTCGTCGCCGGTGAGAATTAGGAAACGTCCAGCTCTGTTGTTTAAGACGAACGATGTCGTTGTGGAGATCCAATATGGTACTTCGATACTCATTGTTTGCAGTTTGCGAAGCAGAGCGGTTAAGAGTAATGCGAATACTGCCAGGGCCAGTGAATCTCTGTAGTAGAGTACTGGAAGAGTGAAATTCTTTTATCGTGGTACTACGCTCTGTGGAACTATATTTTCGTGATATTACGCTCGTAGTACTTTCGTAGTACTACATTCGCGTGGAATTACTCTTCCATAGAACTACGCTCGCATGGATTCGCGTTAGCATAGAATTACGTTTGTGTGTAAATACGTTAGCGTAAAACTACGCTTCCATGATACTACACTTGAGTGGATTCTCAATGCATAAAGTTACAACTCCGTGAAATTACGCTTCCGTGATACTATGCTCGTGTGAATTCTTATTTACACAGTATTCCTTTCGCGTAGAATTATTAGGTGTAGAAAGCAAATTCTTTCCGACTTTTGGGTACAATCAAAGTTTTATTTAACAAGAATGAAAATAGATCAATCGTCGAAATAATTTCCACTTATTGTCGATGATCTTTTGCCACTTTTCTGGCAGTTTGCGAATACCATCACGATAGAAATTCGGCGACTTTGAATCAGTCATGTGAATTCATTTCTGCACCTAACAATATTTGTATAATATTAACATTGAGCCCTCTTACGCTCCACCTTGAAATACTCACATATATTAGGCGGATTGGGGCCATTGTGCGGCAGCTGCCAGTGCAAATCGAATATGCAGAGCATATGGCAGATCAAGTTCACGCTGGCGACAGCCATACGTTCGGTCGATCTCGAATCCAACCAGAGTACTGTTAACGTGAGCATCATCATTGCTACTGCTGGTGTAATATATGTGGTATGCATGATACCATAATGGCGGCTTATGGAGAACTCGTAAACGATCATTGGATAAGTATCGTTTGGACAGCATTTGTATTTTTTTAACACCTTGTACGCGTTTACAACTTTGAAGTCCCATTCAGTGTTGTTCGTATATCCTTCCATTTGAAACTATAGAATCGTACATATATTGAAAATATTGAACTACCACTTATCAGTTAAGTAACGCTATATATTCGAAGAATTTCGCAGCATTTGAAAATTTTTCAGTACTTTCAACTCAATTTTCTAATTCAATTTTAATTACCGCTTTTTTGTCTAAGTGAAAGTTCACTTCCTCCCCGGAATGAACCCACGAACCGAAATTAATTCGACACTGATGCGTGTCGTAAGGCCACGAAGCAAAATTTGTGACACATTTGGAGATGTGTTTTACCGAAGGCACGCAGCTAACCGAACCTGAATTGAAGACCAAACATGTCGTCGGTGGTATACCTGTCTGATCGAACGACAAATCCCCGCTGTTTAAAAAAGAAAAAAATAGCATCCGGTAATTTAATTGGAGGTTCAAAAGAAAGAAATTAAGCAGATTTGAAAGTTCTAACTAGAAGAATTTAAACAAAGAAATTCTTTCAAAAATTTTAGCCTTGAAAATCCTAACTTACGAATTATAAACTGAAAGATCGGGAATCCATATGTCGTCGCTCTTCACATGAATAAAATTAATCCCTTCGAACTCACTGGGTTTCCAAGTAAGATGAGCGTCATTCCAAATCTAGAAGAACAATTCCTGAAGTCCTTGGACATCGAATTTCGTTATACCTCAAGGAAAGTAAAAACAATTATCACTTACAAGTGTCATCCAACTGTGCAATATCATTTTGCTGTTCCATTCGTCCTAATAAGAAAAATTCCAACGAACAACGAGATACAAATATGATAAAGGGAAACGAGACTCCTGAATTAGAAATGATTAAAATGATAAATGTAATTATTCTTACGAATTCCAGTATTTTTGGTATTAGTTTCATGGTCACATTGTTCACAATTTTATGAGAAGGAGTCGGCCGAATGGTGGAATCGTATTCGCAGAAAAGATGCCTCTTCAACCTCAACGTTGGCGATTGATTCTCGATATTCTTGCAGAACATTGTCAACAGATCATCCACCACAGCTAAATAAAATTTCAATGATCAGCGTTGTAAAAACACGTTAATGTGATCGAAAATTACAGAAAGACAATGACCTTTTCTGATTTACAAAACATTTTCATACTATATAATTAAGTTGAATTAATTTAAGGACAATAGTGTATATAAAATGAAAATGAATTAGGTGTTAATCAGTTGCAACGAGGAACGTAACGATGGATTAATATGACTGTATTCTACATTGAAGATCACATAGACATTTTTATCAACGCAAATTGAATTTCTGGTGAAGTTATAATTAAGAAAATTTCATATCATAAGTGAAAGAAGAAAAATGACAATGACACTTGATGACGCCTTACCCGAACAACAATTCGGCCAGATAAAATATAAGACAGAAAGCACCGTTAGTATTCTCATTTTGATTGAAACGAGCCAACAACCAACAGTCGACTGAACAATTTTTCGGTCCTGGTCGAACGAACGATTATCAGACGCCCCATGAAATTCGAAGCTCCAGATATGCGAGACGCCCCCAGGGTGGGTCAATGCTTTTCACGTATTTTCAGATAGAGTAGCAATAACGAAATGATTGGTCGTGTATAAATGATTGATGCTTGTCTGACAACATTTTCGACAGGTTTATTAAACTTCGGTTTTTCTTGGAATTTGACAATTTGAGAATTCAGGAAATCGAAAATTGGGGAATGTGGAAATTAAAAAATTTAGAATTTGGAAATTAGAAAGTATAGAAATTCGAGAATTCAGGAATTTGGATACTACAAATTTGGGAGTTTAGAAATTTGGGAATTCGGAAACTTGGAAATTCAGGAGTGTGGAAATTAAAAAATTTGGAAATCTGGAAATTAAAAAATTTAGAATTTTGAAATTAGGAAATTTAGACATTTGAAAATTCAAGAATACGGATATTACAAATTCGGGAATGCGAAAATTCGGAAACTTGGGAGCATAGAAATTTGGGAATTCAGAAATTTGGAAATTTAGAAATTCAGGAATTCGGAAAGCTGAAAATTCAGAAATTCGGCCATTGAAATCTTCGATACATCTACACCGAACCTTATCTCCTTATCACGTTTTAAAGTCGTTTAATTTCCCAATCGTGACATCCGGTACAACAGCAAGAATCAGAGCGACGTTCTGTCGCTGTGAAGTAGGTTCATCGCTACGTGCGTGCAATTTCGATAAACTGGCCAAGGACGCATGCGCAGGAGCTCTGCTCCGAACACGCCAGCACGCGCGATAAGTGACCGCGCCAGTTCGTCGTGCGATTTCTTGTGATTTGGTGGTCGTGTACATTGTTCCTTTTTTTTTTTTTTTTTTAACGAAGACACGGTGTCGATCTAACTGAAATTATTTGGTGACGTTCGAATGAAAGAAACGATCGAATTGTTGTTGAGAAAGAATGAGGTACGTCGGGGCGCTCGATGTGGGAACCACCACCGTGCGTTTTCACGTGCTTGACGAGCAAGCGAACACCGTTGTTTCCGCGGTGGAAAAGGTTCGATATTGATCGATTATTTTCATAAATGTCGAGACTAGTGAATAGTTTAAATCTGTGAAGACTAATGAAGAATTGTATGTGGCATATTATTAACGATAGTGATACAGTATTACATCGTTCTCTTTATGTGCAACTTTTCACTTCTTTTTAGTAAAGAAACCGGATGTGATTAAAAGATAAGGAGACGATAAAAAATTATTTGATAATTAAATTTAAGTCTGAAGTAGACTTAAGAAAATTTTGAAATTTCAAAAATTCTAAAATTTCAATTCCATCTCCAGAATTGTTCAATTATATTTTATGTTCAATTACGAATTTCTATAATTTATCGAATCGTATATTCATGGTATTGGCATAAAGGGGACGATATCTATAAAGTAGTTTTGTAAACAACTGGAGAGGAATGTGAAATTCGAAGATGTAGGCGATAGAAATATTATTTATTTAGATATTCAGATTAGGATTGTTAATATCAATTTTAATCGTGCAAAAAAGAAGTATCGAATTATCGTTACAATTTTTCAAATGTTTAGTTATACACAGAATCGATGCTTACTAGCTTGGAAGGCACTAATCCTTATACCCATGCGAAAGGAATAATTTAATATTTCACTTATGTACCAACCTACTTAACTATGCACCATTGAAAACTCGTTTCAGGTATAGATTTTCACAGACATGTACATAGAAATAGCGAATGTAGCAAAGAAGTTCATTAACATTAACAACATCGTTAATAAATGCTTATGTTTAAGAAATTGCATTTTAAATATTTTGCTACCACGTTCATAATTCAATTTTGTTCAGTGACGTTTGAACAGTCTAAATAGATAAGATCTATCCATTATTCGTCTGCTTTATTTACATATTAGAAGCTTCTTCTTATGTAATCATAGATCGTACGATTATGAAGAAGCTTATCGCTTCATCAGTCTTTAGATTAGATATCGTGAACGTGGAAACATTCGTAACATTCACAAGATGGGGCTCCATTCACACGAACACTTATTCCAACAATTAATGTGATTCTGAACACGCGATTACAAAAGTCGTTACGTGCCTCTGTGACGAATCTCAATAATTTAACGTTACTCAATGTGCATGGAGAAAACAACAACAACAAACGGTACGAACGAACAGGAACGTTGTATAATATTTGCATGTATTTATTGTACATACAGTGACTCTTACTAATATTCGGACACTCTTTAGAACAGTATAATTTTTTTTTTAAATTGGATCAAACAACTTGAGTTTTTTTGAGAAGTTAGAAGGATTAGTATACTAGATGACGTGTTTAACATTTTTTGAAAATATTGCAATTTGTGGGAATCACGAAGAAAATTGTAAAGGTTACTGTTTACAACATTTTTACCTGAGCTTGTAACGAAAATTTAAAATATACGTTTTGTAGATTTATGTCAATCATACACATGCTGAAAATTTCATCGAAATCGGTAGATGGAGAAACCAGCAACAGGCATCGAAAGATGTAGGAATCTTCAGATTTATTACAATTATAGGCCGAACGTCGTGAAATAGTG